CAAGTGTTATTCTAAACTAGGAACGCTATGAACAATATGAATATTGCATAATTCTGCATTTTATAATCTTGAAAATACAGGAGGCAGCTATAAGATCCCTAAGTGGCTGCTTGCTTTCTGAGACTCTTAAACACTGTTGTTCCTAGCAATTAGAAACTTTTTAAAAAGAGAACACTAGGTTTCTTTTGACACCGATTTCTACATAAATGAAGTTTTTGGTTTTGGTTTTACTCCTGGAGAACAGCAATAGCTACACTTAATCAGCCCACTGCTGTCAAAACTGCCCTTAATCTTTCTCTTGGACTGTTGCACAGCTATCCAGTTGTTCTAAACCTGGGCAGTTCTTAACATGATTATGCAGAAGTCTAACCATGTTTAGCGGGGTTCAATCTCAAGGAAGCATGAATAGGTTTGTACTTTGGTCAATTTAAGTTGACCAAGAATATATTTCAAAATCCTTGTGGAAGTGTTTGTTCTTTAAGTTGCATTATTATTATTACCAGTATATTAAGTGTTTTGAAATGCTTGTTCCTCATAGTAGTTACGTAGCTGAAAAAAGCCACTACAGCAGAGTGGGATTTGAACATGTCCCGTTCTTCCAGATAATAACTGAGCTTCATTGAAATATATGCTGTATTCAGGACTTACGGTGTGTTGCTTACAGTTTATACATACTGCATGAAAATCTGCCATGCATTATTGGATTTAAATTTAAAGGCTCTGTTCTGTGTCAGTGAAACTTACTATTTTCTATTAGCCCAACTGCTCATCCTCCTTGTATAACAAGGGCAGCTAGTCAGGAAGATCTCTAAAGTTGCAGTCTTTTTCTTTCTTTCTTTTTAAAATCATAACCCAAGATGCAATCTGCTGAGGAAGACAGAACGCTGTCATAACTTAGATATTATTAGACCGTTAAGATATTTGAAGTTTCCTAGGAGCGACTTCGCCACTCTTAAAAAGGGGGGGGGAGAAGATACTTGTTCAGGCAAGCATTCCAGGCAGCCTAATTTAAAAACACAAACACAATCTTGTCTGAGACTTAAAGACTACTGCAGGCTGTGCCCTCTGTGTGGAAGCTAGTCATGCATAGGCCACAACGACAAACTAAGATAAAGAGCAATCTCAAAGCATTTTACAGGAATTAAGCAGTTGATGAGTTTAAGAGGGCGGAAGGAATAGGAGCATATTTAAATATGAATGATGATAGCTGGGAATTTGCTGAGAAAAAGGTAGCCATTATAGGGCCAGATCCACATAACTCTTGTCATGACAGTGGAGCCAACACTCAAAACCCAGGAAGAGAAGTGGCAGCTGACTGATTTGTGGGAATTGCCTCAAAGCCAAACTGCTTTGCATCAAGCAATTCCTTCCCAGAGTTTGGCAACGATTACAATCCACAGACAGAAGTAGCACAGGCAGATTTCTTTCCCCCCCTTACATCAAAGGAATCTGCTTCATGACAGGCACCCCCAGTACATGCTCTATCTCACCCCTGGATCTGTGCATTACTCACTCCTCACTATTCAAACCTGATTTTATCTGTGACAAATTAAGTCTGGAGAGTCTGGTCCTAAGGAGAAAGTTCTGAGGAAAAATCATGGTAGTCACATATCCCTGTTGAGCCATTCCTTCAACACAAAATAGTTCCTTCCTTCCTCCCCTGTAAACACGCCCCAGGCAAAGGCTTCTCAAAATGCCTTTGGCACACTGAAGCAGGGCCTAACTTTTAGGCATATTATTTTAGACAACCCCCGAAAACATTTATTCATTTTTATGAGTTACAGTGATATCCAGCCCTTTCCATAAAAATATACATATCTGATGCGCTAGAATTTCTCTCACACTCCCCCAAAGTCGCATCTTCGTCAAACTGCACATTCACACACCCCCAGTATTTTTAGCATCACGCTCAGGATGACCCAAGCCTACACGGTAGAGACACTTGTTCGGGAGCTTGGTCACTCTCTCCACAGAAACACAGCCAAAGTGGCACTCTCTTCCTAGCCTTGGCAATCCTGCACACACGTGGTTTGTGCAAATAGTGCTTTTAACAAAAATAAAATTTCCTTGGTAACTGGAAAGGGGACAGAGGGTTTACACCAAACTAGACAACACAAAATTAGTGTTAATGGAGTGGGGAAAGGGAGGGTTTGGGATACCCACAATGGGGATATAGCCAGTACAGCAGCCAGGAATTGAGGTCTTTCATCTTGGAGCTGGTTTGCTGAAGATTCCAGGTAAATTTCTTCCCACAAACTGTTTGGCGACTTGATGCTTAATTGCTCCTCTCCCACATTCACCCTGGAAGCTTCATCTTCACTGAACCACAACAGATACAGCCGCTTGTGGTACAAAAATATGTGATGGAAGACACAGTTTTGAAGAGACGGGAACTATTTCTTCAAAGTGGAAGCCCTCGGCCTGCTAATGCCATTTTCCAGTCTCTTCACGCAGAGCAGCAGAGGTGGAGCTGAGTAAACTGAAACAGCCAGTTAGGTCACGAGAGTGGCTTTGCTGATTTAATTACTCCCAAAACATCCTGGCTGCTGAACTTCTGAAGTGCTTGCAATCAAAACATCTGCTGGTAGGGTAACATTTGAATTTTGAAACTGGTATAAAATCATCTTGGAAGGCCGTACAAGCTGGACATTAAAGAAAGCTTCAGTGGTCCTGCAATAGGAAGGACCACTCTCTTTTCCCTCACGTTCCTTCCTATCTCAAAATACTTTCATTAAGAGCAACATCTATTTTCTAAAATAATCCCAACTCCAAAAGAAAGCCTTTCCTTGACCCCATCATTCCCTCAAAAAAGGCACTCACTGAGCAGCTAAGTGGCTGCCATTTCTTTCTGACCTAACCCAATGATGAATAGGAAAGGTGGAAGAATCCGATGCACCAAAGAATGCCAAAGCCACCCCCAGGGCAACTACTGTAGTAGGCCCTTCTCTTTTATCAAGAAGAGGACTGGTCGTCCTTAGGCCCACTGAGAGAACTTAAGTTTTTGCTACCTCTTTCTCAAGAAGTCAAGGAACAGCACAAACTACAATCTAAGGCAGTCACAGTGGTATGTTTCATAGAAAGAAGCTTCAAATGAAGTATGCTAAAAAGAAAAAGACCCAGCATAAAATTCCTGTCAGGTAAAATAAAAGTGAAGACTGAGACGCTGCTCCAGAGGTAACATGGCACTCTGACCCTTTCCTTAGGATTAAGTCTTGGTCATCACACCAGGCCCAGTGGATAAATTAAACAGGATATCAGGAGAAACCAAATAAATAGATATAAACAAACAGCTGGGGATGCTGCAAGCAAACACCCAACTTCAAGTGTCCGTTGAAGTGACCAAAGCCGCAGGCACCCTTCACGTCTGATGGACTTTGTGGAACATGAGTTCTTGAGGAATCTGGGTCTCGGGGCCATAATTCTTCGATGCCCGGCGCTCAAAGGCTGCCACCATCTGCTTTACTACCTCATCGAAAAAAACGGCAGCCAACTGCGAGTGCAGCAGGGAACGAAATTCAAAAGAGATCTGAGGAAAGAGAACAGCACATTGGACTACCGTGAAGATCATTTTTCCGCAGTGAAGCTAGGCCATTTTACAGTGAGAAAGCCCCTTCCCCTTGCTCCAGAGAAGGGTCTAGAAAAGATTTGCTGTGGAAGAATAATTTTGAAATTACAAATCAGGAGATTTGTTCTTAAGTACAGCAGGAATAACAAGTACACTTATAAAAATGGTGTACAACTACTTGCTGAAAACTGATGAGGCTCCAATTTTTTCCTACAGAAATTGGGCCCAGGGGTGTATTACTGTGATAATAAATTGGGATGGCCCAACTGACATCTACTTTGTGCTGATCCATCTCTAGTTGGGGCAGAGGCAGAAGGAAAGGAGGACCACAATCTAGTCTCAGTTGGGCATCAAGAGTGGCTCTAAGTACAGAGCAATAGTGCCCAGCGGGATGACACAGAACCCCAAAGAGTTCCCGTTTACGACGCACATCTAGCTAAACTTTGACTATTAGGAATGCCACTTTCTCTAACTAAGTCAGGACTGCCAGAGAACTAAGTCAGCAACTGCCATAAAGACAGCACTTGGCTGACTTGTTCATGACTTACCTATGCTCCTTATGTTTCATCTATAAAATCAAGATTTTAATGGAAATGGATTTGGCAAGGGAGATCGTTATAGCTAAGGTTGTAACCTAATGGGATGTGTGGTACAGGATTTACATACTTATCCAGGTATTGGAATGGTTTCTTGCTTTTACACACTATAGCTCCCACTATAGGAGGTGCCACAGGGGCATCTACTAGATGGACTGCCTTTGGCAAGCACATAGTTTGGAGGCCAGAGAAGTGACATACCTCAATGACCTTGGAGTTCCCTACTCTGCTTCAAGGAATTCATTCAACAGCTCTAGGAAATGAAGGCTTGTGGGAGGAATGCTCAGTACCAGAAACATCTCTGCCACCAGAATACGGTTCTAGTTCCTTCACAACTAGGATCTTACAGACTTTTCTCAGTAGTAATGGAAAGTCCACCTTTTTTAAAAGCCGATGGATGCAGGGCCCCCAAATCAGTCCTCATTTATGCAAGAGCTAATGAGCTGGTGAGGAATCCCATTAGCCTTTGTGTGCTTACTGCGAAGTCCAGGGTACAGGTGCGAGGATAGCCTGGAATGCCAGGACTGAAACGCCAGCTTGTCTCCAGATGATTGAAAAGTTTTCCATCAGTGCAGACTGCCTGGGGAAAATAATAGCAAAGTTTCATGTTGGTAGCAAAACCCACACAGTGTGAATTAGCCAAACTGACGCCCTCCAGATATGCTGGACTACAACTCCCAGAATTCTCCTCAACATGGAGGACAGCAGAATGGCCAATAGAATGCAAGAGTTCCCATCCCCACTCTAATAACAGCAGCTCTGGATAAAGATTTATCCATCAACTTGCATTTGAAACAGGTATCTCACGTCTGCCTTATGCGTATCTTGCTTCATATGTCATGTTTATGGAAAGCACTTTCTGTTGAGCACTTTCAATATTTTTAATTTTTTATTAAGTGTTCTCTCAATGCCAGTGCCACCACATTCATCAAACTTCCCTCCAAATTATCTGAGGCACCAGGACAAATTATTAATTATGCAATGCTTGTTATTATATTGTCATTGCAACAATGAAGTATCATCAGCCTGGTTAACCCACAGATACACAACTCACCTTCACCAAATGGGGTTGCACCAGTGTCACAATAGAGGTATAACGTTCCACAACAGGAGGGAATCCAACTTCCAGCTGGGCCTTCACATGTCCTGCTCGCTTAGAGACCACCGTTGATTTCTTACACCATGGAACAAATTCCTTATATTCATTCACATTGGCCACAACACCATACATTTCCTGCATGGAGTAACTGCAAATAAAGAGAGAGTGACTCCTTATGTTATGTCCACAATGATGCACATGTCCACAATGACATAGGTACATGCATACCACAGGATGCTGGAATATCTATTATGCTGTAAACATTGAAAGGAAACTTTCAAAATTGCATTTCTTCTCCACTTCTCAAATCCAAGATCTTGTTTTAGAGGAGAATGGAAGAAATAGGAAGGATGTTTCATTTACTTATTCCCTTAGATTCCATTGTATCAAAGAGAACTAACGTACAAGAAATAGAGCCTGGCTCCTTCTATGATTGATATATTCTGCTGTTTGGAGATTTTAGGCATTCTGTTATTTGAGACAGGCAGTAAATTATTTAATATAATATCTGCCTCTTTCCAAGTCTTGCAAAACTCCATGTAAATCTCAATCTTATAGGTATCTATATTAAAAAAAGAAATTTAAAATAACATAAGATAAATTTTGGGAAAAAAATGGAATCTCTTAAAAGCAAAGATAAGCCTGCAAATCTGACCATTAACTTTGTCAATTGTCTATTTCAAGGACAACTACTGTGCAGTGAGAATTGCTTAGCAAAGGTACAAATTTACTGTGATTGGTGTATTTACAAATTGCTTGAAGGATAAAAAGGGATTTCAAGAAAGGAGAAAGAACCTTGATAAAAATACAGAAGTTGCAGCACTTATACAAACCCAAGGTCTTCTATTGGGACTATTATAACTGTAAATGGTTATTGAAATATGACACAGAAATGGAACAAATAAAAAAACTATGATAAAATCAATACAAAGCTTCCAAGAAGTAACCACAGTACAACAATGAGAAAAATAGAAATATTTAAGTTAGCTGTTGGGAAACAAATGGAAAGGAAGGGGAGAAAGTATGACAAAACATGTTTTTACTCTAATTTTTTTCTTTGTACTCTATTCTTAACTTTCTAAAAATCTGGTAAAAAAATTAAAAAATATCAAGAGAGAAAAGGAGACGGAGCAGGAGGAGGGTAACAGAAGGAGGGAGAGAAAGTCACTGGGACTCTTTTTATCAGCAAATTCTCCCAAATACTTTCCCTGCTTATGCAACTGCAGAAGATAACAAACAAACTCACAATCTTGGATATGATTGCAGCCTGCTACAAATAAAGAACTACATAAAATCCATGTTTCCAAACCACTTATCAATTGCAAGCAAAGTTCAGTTCTCTTTTTGATAACACATTCCTTATTGCTGCAGAGGAAGCTAGGCAGAATGAATATACAGTAAATCGAGAATATTCATGGAAGATAAGGCTAGAAAGGGCTATTGGCCACACAATCAGTGTATGTTATCTATAGATTCCAAGTATCATACAGCTTGGAAGAATAACAAAATGGCCATTCGAGTTAATTCTTCCTTCCCATGAGCTGGGGAGAAGAATTTAAGCTAATTAATCCCTGATTGCATAATCCAAACTAATAACAGTCTAGGTCAGTGGTTCTCAACCTGTAGGTCGGGACCCCATTTGGGGTCGATCGACCATTTCACAGGGGTCGCCAAGCAAGGCTGTCCGCCATTTTTTTGTCCGCCATTTTTTTCCCCTTTTCCGGTGGGTGCCTTACCTCCCTTGGGCTGGGCCAGCTGGTGGTTGGCCTGCTCCGTCTCTGCCGCTTGCCAGCTACGCCTCGGCCGGCACAGGGGGCGGAACCACACATGCGTGGCGCTCCTGGGCAGGGAAAGTCCTCGACTTACGACCGGTTGGGTAGTCCTCGACTTACAACCGGTTTAGTCCTCGACTTACGACCGGTTTAGTCCTCGACTTACGACCGGTTGGGGTCGCGGCATTAAAAAGGTTGAGAACCACTGGTCTAGGTAAATCTGCACATAACAGTTCCTTTTCTGACTCTTGAGTGTACATCTCCAGCTTTGCATAGGTATGGGAAGGTAATACTTCGTGGAGAATATAAGGAGATTGGTGGTACTGTTATCCTGAAGTAAGCAGCCTGCAGTTTCCTCAAGATTTTGCTGATTATGTGTACAGTACAGGTAGTCCTCAGCTTACGACAACTGAGCCCAAAATTTCTGTTGTTAAGTGAGACGTTTGTTAAGTGAGTTTTGCCCCATTTTACGACCTTTCTTGCCACAGTTAAGTAAATCGCTGCAGTTGTTAAGTTAGTAACACTGTTGTTAAGTGAATCTGGCCTCCCATTGACTTTGCTTGTCAGAAGGTCGCAAAAGGTGATCACATGACCCAGGGACACTGCAACCGTCATAAACAGGAACCAGTTGTCAAGCATCCGAATGTAAATCACGTGACCGTGGGGATGCTGCAACAGTCGTAAGCGTGAAAAAGTGCCGTTGTAATTTTGAACAGGCACTAAACCGATTACCTGTATTGCTTTAGCTTCCTGTAAAACTTGACTGGTCGCTGTGGGAAAGAGGACACCGGGTTAGGCAGACCCTAACTTGGATACCACGGGTCTTGCCTTGTGTTTTTATCCCCCTACGTTAGAAATAGGTCCTCTTCAGTTGCTTTAGACTACAAAATTTCTAGTCTTAAAAACCTAGAGTTCTGTATTGTTCATTATTACCCAAGTAAATGATGCTCGTGTGGGTCACACAAAACGATATTCGAGACAGTGTGTACATTTTCCCTCCATCATGAAAACACCCTCATGCAAGCCATGTCAGCTCACCCAATGATCCTCCTCTCTGAATATTCCTTCCGTTTGTTGATGAAAGGTCCTGTAAAGCTGATAAATGTCCGGCTGTGCTGACCACTGAGATCCCAATCAAGACTGCTGATAGTATGAGGGTCTCGGATCACCAGACTTCCACAGCATGGCATATACCTGGAACTGAAAGATCCCCAGGATTAGCTGAACTGAATTGAAGTCTACCGAACTTTCCCAGAGTCTAAATTCAACATCCTTTGATCCTGAATAACCTAACAGAGGCATCACCCACTGATTCAGAAAGCTGCAAGTAAAGTAAATTACAAGCATGACCTTTGTTCCGCGGGACCTGACTTCAGGATGTACATGTGACACCCGTTTAGGAGTATGTATATTACCCCCCTCCCTTCAAGACTAAATAGAAGTCAGCTAAAAGTGTTATTACACTTTATGTGTGTTGTGTATGATGTTGACACCCCATTAACTGAAGATTCCCGTTTACGAGAACAAGGAGAACTCTTCACACACACACACGGGGGGGGAATGTTAGAAGAAAAGGACGTAAAAATCATAGTCTATGACAGTGGTGGCGACAGAAACAGTCAGTTTTCTAAATGGCTTCTTGGCAACTGGACGTTTGTCATCTCCTAGCCAGGAAAATGCACAGAAGGGAAGAAGACAAAATAATTTATTCTACAAGTTTAAGTTATATAGCAGTGGTGGTGAACCTATGGCACGGGTGCCAGAGGCGGCACTCAGAGCCTTCTCTGTGGGCACGCGCACCATCGCCTCAGTCCTACACCTTCAGCTGGGTTTTATAAAACCTTTTCGCTTTAGGCCTCTGCCGCCGTGTGCAAAAAAAAAAAAGGTTCAATCAATCAATTTCAACTTCTCGCAGGGAAAAAAAGATCTTGCAAAGTTGGAATTGATTGAACTTTTTAGTCCCACCCAGTCTGCCGTTACCACCGCAGCCACGCCCACCCAATGGGCCACCCCTACCCGGCCCTCGACGATGCATGTGGGTTTTGGGTTGCTGTTTGGGCACTCAGTCTCTAAAAGGTTCGCCATCACTGGTCTATGAATTTCAGAGGGCTTCTGATTATCTACTTCTGGTTCTGAAGCTCTTGTATCACTGTATCTGCGATTCCTCAGATTATCATCTCTGTACTTGTGAAAATTAAACTTAATAGCATTGGACAAACATTACTCCACTCCCCAAAGTACAAGTTGTTCAACAGAGTTACTACAATCTGAACTTTTGTCATAAATGTCAGGATAAATTGTGTATATCGATACCATCTTCACTCCTGCAGAAACTGGAAAAGGGAACCTGATCCCATGTACATTTTTCTAAATCCTTGGCTGCTACCTTCCGCTCTACTTGTTTTACAACTTGTTGTCAAGTAGCAATTTTAGATACAAGTTCAGTGCTATTAAAGAAGACTGGTAAATGTGTTTTCAAAAGCAGCCTTAACAAGCAGAGAGAGCAGGTCATTGATTAGTAAACAGTAGTCCTTCTCACTTCACCTTGCAGTCCTACCTGTGATTGCCACCACTGATCACCTGCTGTTCAGACTGACCTCAGAAGATCAGACTCACCAATCTGAGGGTTACAGGGAGAAATCCCGCCTGAAAAAAATTGCAGAATAGTCCAGAAGACGGTGTTTAGGGACTGTAGAAGAATCATGCCAGACCAATCTGACCAGGCTAATGATGCTGGGGTGATCCCATCTCCAAAGGTCCTCTCTTTACACCACCCGAAAGAATGGTGCACCTGATTGAATCCATGGCAAAAACGTGTATCAAAATAAAGGGGAGAAAACTACTTTAAGGATGACTTTCCTCTATGAGGCCAAAATTGTGAGGACACAATAGAAAAAAAAAAGATGTTGCTGGGACATAATTATGCTGCAGTTAGATGCAACTGAGGATAGGCTCTTAGATGTTGGCCTTTTCGCCTCTTTTGCTTTTGGGTGGGAAGCTCTTTCTGCCAGAAAAACCCTACATACAGCGGCTGAGTCCCAACTGAAATTATTAGACACTTTAATTAAAGAAGAGAGAGCAATTTTCCTGCTCAATTTCCCATAACACTTCCTAAAATTCAGTTGGGAGGAGTGATCCGAAATGCAAAGCTTTTGCATTTTCTTCCACGTTGGCTAGCTTCTATCTTATTTGCAGGCCAGCTTAGCTTAGCTTAAGTTACATAATTATTGTCGGTGAGCCTTCCCCCAGCAGCAGCTAAGCTGTTTTTTTCAACAAGTAAATATTCAGGATGCCTGGCCCTAGTGGAAACCCTATCTATGAAAAGAGGGATAGATTTCCTGTCAGATTTAATGTCACCAGAGGTTTAAAAAAATACCTTTTGCTTGGATCGACAAGTTTTTAGACTACTTAAAACTGTGACCAATGAATTGAAGAAAAGTCCCTGTATGTCCCCTGTTCCTCTCTTTGGTCTAAATTTCATCATGAGCAAGATGGGTGTGCGATAATTTTGGCTTCAGAAAAACAACAGTTGAGGGGTTTTTTTGGGTCATAACCTTCCCCAATTTGGTGCCCTCCGGGTGCATTGGACTACAATTTCTATCATCAGCATGCTGACCAAGCATAATGAAATTTGCAGCCTAACACATATCTGGAGATCTAAAAGTAAGAAGCTGCCTTAATGCCTTTTTCAGAAAAAAAGAGGGGGGGGACATTAATATGTAGCAATATACCACAGTATGATGGATGCAGCTAGAGCAGGGGTAGGCAACCTCGGCTCTTTTATGACTCATGGACTTCAACTCCCAGAATTCCTGAGTCAGCATAGCCGAGGTTGCCTACTCTGAGCTAGAGCTAAGACAGAAAGAGGTGTGGAATTTAACTTAGAAGATGTACAAAGAATATATTGCAGCATATTCAAGGACAAAAAAGAATGCGGAAAGAATGGCAATTACAGAATAGCTGCCCAGCAGGTTAGCTAAGACATTTACTTGGGAACACTGCCAAGCAAGCCATTGTGAATACGAACAATTACATAAAGAAGTTAAAACAACAGAAATCCCGTAGACACCACAGATGAACCTCTTTCATCTGGCATAGTCACTTGAAGTAAGTAAGTTTTAAACGCCATCAGTTTGTCCCCCACAAATTTAACTGAGGTACTAAGCTGCATCTACCAGCATCAGTGACTTGCAGGCATCCAGAATCCTTATTTCAATCTATGCTTTGCCTGGAGATTTTTTACCAGATTCTAGCGAACTTCCATTTCAGAATGGGATCACGTTGTCCTATCGTATCGTTTGCCAGTCTCCCTTTCCGTGCTTGTGACGTCTCGTTGTTTGTAAGTCCTTAGTAATTCGTGTATGGGATTATGGGTAAACAGAAACGACGGTGACGGCCTCCTATCGAGTTTACAAAGATTTCTACTACACCTCCTTCGATCATATAGATTTAAAGATTTCTAATTTAAGAGACTGGATTCACATATCATGCTAAGGCATACTCTTGTTGCATAAGCCATATTACCCTAGCTCACTTGTATTACTAAGGTGTAGCCCATGATTCATATATAACTGTGGTTGGAATCAGTTGCCCTGCTAAGCCAAAAGTAAACAGACAACATTGTGAATTAACCCAACATGTGCACGCAAGTCAGCATCTTGGAATTCTTATGTAATAATGTATTTCTATCTAGACCAGTGGTGGCAAACCTATGGCACGGGAGCCAGAGGCGGCACTCGGAGCCCTCTCTGTGGGCACACATGCTGTTGCCCCAGCCTCGCCTCCCCCCACGACCCCCTCCTCTCCAGCAGCCCCCCTGAAGGAGAGTCGCCCCTGAGCGTGGCCCAAGCAGAGCAGCACAGCCAAGGACATGGCAACCAGACAGCGTAGACAAGACTCTGCCCTCACACCCCATTGTGCACAGTTGATGCTGCAGGGCACAGGCAGAGGGCGTGACCGCCATAGTGCTGCTGGGCTGCCTGGGCGATCTGCGGTGGGCCCTGGAGGCAGGCGGGGCGGGGATGGGGGGGTGGAGCGGGGCAGGGGCTGGAGGGGACAGGGCCAGTTTTGGGGCACTCGGTCTCTATAAGGTTCGCCACCACTGATCTAGACCATCTCAAAAGACCATTTTAAAACTAATTTCTTTATAATATTGCCTGATACTTGCCACTTCATTTTTTTTTTTACCTAGGTCCTTTTCCCCCTGGTAAAATTAATTCCACAAAATAAAGCATTCTACAACTTTTTTTTTTTAAATCAAGTTTAAATACCTATATATTAACATAATTCTGATAAAAATCTCAGATTTCTTCAAACACATCCAGTTAGATACACATATTGTGCTTCCAAACTAACCCCCACAATCGCATGCAATTTTCAGACAAAAAAGAAGCTAGGAAACATTAGAAGAGCCATGTATATAGTTTCTCACTCCCACTACACTATATATTATTTTGGAAGGCTTCTCAAGTACAACTAATTCTAGTTTAAAACTAAGTTCCAGATCATATGGAGAAATAGTACTTTGGAGTATGTTCATTGGGAAACCAAATCCAAAACCAAATCCTGTTTGGAAGTCTTTTGCAAACATTGTTGCAATAGTACAATCAAAAGGTTATGTATTCAAAGTATTACCGGACACTTCATTTTCAGATTTTTTTAAAAAAATGCTTAAGGATATTTCTGGGGAAAATGAGTCCTCATAAGGAACAATCGTTTCCAGATCTGTGATAACACAACAAATAAATGCTAAAATATCCATCAAAGAAAAAATCTTCCTCTAAAAAACATGAACCCATTCAATTCATTATCTCTTATTTTATAAAAGACCTACAAAATTTACAAAAATAATTTCATTCCACATGAGAGGAAAAAAATTGAAACTCAAACTTATAAACTATATCAAGCTGTAGATTGAATATATGGTTGAGTGTTGATTTGACTAAGGAAATGTAGTTCACAGGTCACGCTCCTGAAAATCCTGTTAATTCATTACATTAACCTAGAAGAAGAGCAATATCCCAATGCCTTTAAAATTGGTTTAAACAGATGGGGAGCTGAAATCTGTAGTTCAACATCTGGAAAGCCATATAATACTGTACTCCCAACCTTGTCCTTATGGTGACTGAAGACCATTCTACCTAAAACAAAATGGCCCTTCTCATTAGGTTATATCATCACATTTTAATGCACAGAAGACAAGGCTAGAAAGGGGTACTTTGATCTTCATAATTTAATTCATACATGCATATGGATTAAATATGATGCGGGTTTGTAACTGTTGACTGTAAACTTTCTGCATGATAAAAATCTTGTTCTGGTAGATCACTGACTGGTCATTAACACAACTACACAAAAGCATGATTAGTCACACATACAGTATGTTGCATACAGTGTGCTTCCTGTTTGGAAATTCATTTAGTGCAGAAGTAAAGAAAAAATACCAATTACTAGGAAGAAGTTCAAAATGGAAGTGACTCTGTTGGTACCAGCTTTTCCTCAACTCTATAACATTTCATCTCAAAGTATTTGCAAAGAAAACTTTCCCAGTTTAAAAAAAACAAAATCAAAACACAGCATTATCCAGCTAGCTTCCTTTTCTAAGCTTAGAAACTTTTCAAGTTGCTGCTGGAACTAAGGCAGGCCTTTAAGCTTTACCAAACCAGCAGGAATCAAACATCAGTCTAAAAGCCCCAAGTAATTTTTTTTTTACAAAATTATAGATTAGCACAGAAGCAACCACACACATTCTGAGTTCTCTTTGTTACTATTTCAAATAAATCAGTTACATAATTTTTAAAAAACCTTTTCAATCTGTTTCATAGAGTACTTCAGACAGTCAAAAATGGAACTTGATGCTTATTGTGTATGTGTGGCTTAATGGTTAAGAAATTGAATCACAGCTTCAAGTCCACCCTCAGCCAGTGAAGCTGATTGACTGACTTTGGTTCAGTTAGTATTTCTCAGCCAAACCTACCCCATGGGATAGTTGTTGTGAGGGAAAATAGAGGGTGGAGTGCTATGTATGCTACTTTGAACTCATAAAAAATATACATATAACAGATAAACACACATGTCATTCTGTCATGTTAGAAGACAGCATTATTGCCCTGAACTGCAAAGAGATTGCCATTTATACATACTGCTTATAAAAATCCAAACCCTTATCTTACTGGAGGCTTAGTCTTTTCCATTTACTTCCTTCATTACAGGTACACATTCATTAAAAGAAACTCTTACCGCATCCAGGGAAACGCGATCAGTAGATCTCATAATGCAATACGTAATGTAATGTAATATTCTCATTTTTATTGCCCCAGGCTCTGATCACCGTTATCACCAGTAACTCGCCATAAAATCCCACAGGATTCTTCTAAAAGTCTTCTAACTCGGGGGGGGGGGCTCCCTTTCCATTTTAACTTCCATTTCGCTTTCCCAACCCTCTCTCCATTTACTCCTGCGATGGCCTTCTACAAATTACGCATTTTATTCCCCCTGAACGAAGAGCAAGGAGCACAGGTGTACTGGTCCCCGTTGTCCTTCCCTAAAACACTCAGCCTCCTTACAGAGACTTCCCAGATCCTTGTTCAATTTCATTCGTTTTCCAGACGTCACATGCTATTAGATCCCCCTCCCCAAAAATCTCAAAAACAGCCAGGGTACTTCCCCCCCATCTCCCGATTGAGTCAATCTTTTCCTATACGCACAACGCTTAAGGATCCACCCGCTGAATCTGCTTGCCATACACCTGGCAAAAGCCTACAAGCCCGGCCAAGAAGAGAGGGGGGGGGACCCCGAATTCTGCTCCCCTCTTTTGAATGGGGTAGGCTAAGCTGACCATCCCAACGCCTTGCTTTCGTTCGGGGGTCCTTCGCCCCAGGCTCCTAAGCCATCTGTCCTGTTCGTCCCGCTCCTTCCGTGCCCTCCCCCCCATGTCTTCTTCCCTCGCTCCGCTCACCAGCCAGCCGCGGCCGTCCTCGGTCTCAGCCCTCCCCGCACTCCCAGTTGCCAAATTTCCCGGAGCCAGCGAGTCGCCATGGGGGGGCGGGGGGGGGAGACCAGGTGGAAATGCCCCTCTCTCGACCGTATCAATTCCGCCAGCGAATAGACAGGCACCGGCGTGAACTTTCACCCCCGTTGGCGTCACAATGTCCTTGCGTCGCCCTATATGTGTCACAGCGCGGGAGAAAGGGCTGAAGAGGAAACGAGCGCAAGGCTTTGTGGGGGATGTGGTTCTAAGATTACGCCCGAGTGAACCGTGGGGATTCTAGCTTCTCTTTTTTTTGAGTACCGCGGTCTGCGAATTGTTGGCCGTTTATGAGCGTTGGCTTCTTTTTAAGTCACCTTTATCGCCAAAAGCTTGGGTGTGGTTAGTGTTTGGATGGGAGACCATCTCAGAGCTGTTGATGAGATTGGGAAGTGAGGGGAAAAATGGGAAAAGATAATGGCAAACCATTTCTGAATTATTATTAACTTAAAATATATATACATATATGCCCTTTCCTCCCAGGCTAAGCCACATTTGCATACAGTGGAAAAGAAATGAAAGATATAAGAGGAAGAAAATACAGCTAAACCAACCTTGAATCAAGTCAATTTACCACTACATCCCTTTCAATTCTTAAAGCATTATTTCCATTACATCCATAAGCTAATTTGTATGTTGCTGTTTGTTCTTTAAGGATAAACATGTCCTAATAATTGAGCCTCAGGCACAATTTGAGGTAGGTTCTACTAAATGCATGAATACAGTCCTTAACCAAACGGAGCAATTTGTTTTGTGCAAAATCAGTGAGACAACGTTACAGTTGTCTTAGCACTGAGAATTCATCACTTGAGAACCAACACTGAAAGTTTCAGTTTGGTCATAAGCTGCCAAATTATATTTTGTTATTCTTCATTGGTACATAAGTCAGGGTTGCACAACTGTCAAGAAGTGGGCCTAGAAGAGGCCCTATCATCAGAAGTGATTTTTAATATCTGTCCTATCAGTTATTATATCGGTTTGAATAGCAACAGCCATCTCCCAGACATTGCAATCTACTGGACCGCAGAGCTTTGTGTTTTAGCTAATCTGTCATGCCCAAGAGCTCATGCACAATATCATCCCCACCCCAGCACATTGCTAAGGAAGCCTCTGCTTATCTTTTCTTGATATGCATTCTGAAAAAAACCCAAAACAAAGATGTTTTCCAGCTTCGGATCTGGGTTATTTGATTTGTACTGTACTAAGATAAGCCTTGAAAACCCATCTATTCCATGTGGCCGGCCTGGCGTAGTTTTGATTGTGTTTTGGTAGGGGTTTTTATATGGGGTATTTTAGAGCAGGCTTTTTATTTAATTTTTATTGTGATTTTTATTATTGCCTGTTCACCGCCCTGAGTCCTGTAAGGGAGATAGGGCGGTATATAAATTTAAATAATAAATAAATAAATACAAGAGGGATCAAAAAGAGAATCAAAATGAACATAAATAAGCATAAATAACAATCCATCTTCAATCCTACTACAGATTCCCTGCCAAAGCCTTGCTGCTAAATAACAACTCTTTGTAGCATTGCATGTTGTATAAAAGACCTGATCAGCAAGCAGAAAATCAATATGGAACATGTCTGATTGTGCAAAGATTGCTGCTAAAAGGGGATTTTAAAAATAAAAAAAAACCCTGTACTATGAAAGAATGTGTTTTGGTAACTCTCCCTTTTATAGTTTTTGGGAGACCTTCCCTGTCGTTGTGCAGAAACAAAGTTGATACAAAAGCCTAGCAGTAGTCTTGAGTAAGTTGGGGAGTAAATGCCTCTTGGAGGTTGAAGCCTTTTGGCTTTGGTAACAGAAAAGCTGGGCAGTCAGTTCAAATTATACTGCAGCTCAGTTCTGTGAAATAAGAATTTGGGCAGATCAAGTTTCTAGCCTGAGACCACCCAGGTTTACAGAAAATGATCTGAGAAAGGCCATATGAATGGAGCTGCTGCTTAAGGAACTTCTGCCAAGGGGGCTGGAAACTATCACTTAAAACAGACTAGAGTGGCCAGGTGGGATGATACATGAGTTTAACCCAATAATTAATTACTAGCATCATCATGGTTTGTGCAATCTGAACCAAAGGTTCTTTAGAGTGCAGTAAAAAATGCCAAGATGCTGGGCATAAAGGTGCATGCATACAAGTAACAGCATCACAACTGCCCCTTGACATTTTTGACCATCTCCTATAGACATTCCTAATCTGAGATATTGCCACCTGCTTGTATGAAAGGTGAAATAACAAAGGAAACCATTGAGAAGCCCCAGGATTGTAAACTACACTGGAAAGTAACTAAGCAGTAGCAAATCTCCAGAAAGCCAATGGTAAATTATTTCCATATTTTTACCAGGAGACTGCACAGAAATGTCAAGGAGGTTCTCAGGAATCAAATTCAGCCTAAGGTAGATATTATTTTTCTTAGAGCAAGGAACATTTTGGTCCCAATATTCTCAACCGGAAGGTTTTCTGGGAAAAAAATGTGTGAAATTACACATCTGCTAATAACATATAAATCCTACAATGTGCATATTTTATCATGATTTCTGTCCAAGTGCATAATTAGACATGGTATTTTTATTTTAATGAAACAGCATGCCTGAGGGTGCAAAATATATGTAACTATCTTCAATATTTATTTATGTATTTTTATTCTGCTGTTATTATTTTTATAAAAAACTCAAGGCAACAAACTTATGTAATACTACTTCATCCTCCTATTTTCCCCGCAATAACCCTTTGAGATGAGTTGGGCCAAGAGAGAGTGTAATTACTTATTTATGTATACACTTATATGGATATATATAATTACATATACACTTACATAATTACATATACACTTGTCTGGAATGGTATAGGGTCCCCTCCTTGAGCAGGGGGTTGGACTAGAACAGAGGTAGCCAACCTTTTGGGCACAGGGGACCAGTTCCATGGAGAGAGGTTTTTCCGCAGACCGGAGGGTGCGTGGTTTTGTATGCTGCCTGGATCCCCCAGATGGGGCTTTGCTTGTCTGTGGAGACCGGTTGCTGGCATGCTACGGCCATGGACCGGTACCAGGCCGTAGCATGCCAGCAACCGGTCTCCACAAACCTTCAAGATCCCTTCCAACTCTGTTATTCTGTTACTCTGTTACATAAATTAACCATAACTACCTATATAATGCTTTCAAAAGGAATTCCATTATATATTTTAACAAAAATAAGGGTTTGTCTACAGAAAAGTCTACCTTGCGTAAGAGTGAACAGTTACCTGCATAACTGGGATCAATAACTGCTAAGTATAAGAAAGGGTGGTGCTGCAGTTATGATTTACATTTATTCTTAGATTCACTTCCTAGCTTCTTCAGGGAGGGTTGGAAAAGATTTTCCTCTAAAACAAAATTGGCTGCAGTATTCCAGGTGTGGACTTACTAGAGTTTTATAAAGCAGTAATAATACTTCACGTGTTCTTGATTCTATGCCTCTGTTTATACAACCCAGGATTGTATTAGCTTTCTTGGCTGCTGCTGCACACTGCTGGCTCATAGTCAAGCGATCGTCCACTAGGACTCCAATATCCCTCTCACAGTTACTGTTTTTAATTAAATGATAGCATTCCTCCCTCCCCCTATTTTCCATCAATGGTCAAATTATGGAAGGAGGAAAAATGTCATGTTAGAGATGGTCAAAAGCAACAATGCTTGACTTGAGCTTGGACTCAGTCTTTGTATACTCTCCAGATTTAATTAAGGGCACAATTCACATGAGCCTCTAATATGGGTGCTTTGCCATTTGAACAAATCAAGAGTCTTTCCTCCACTGCTATAAAGCATAAGTTGTCCAATCCATGAAACCTAGTTTACCATTCCACCCATAACAGCTAGATGTTTTTAAAAGCAGAAGGATAAAAGAATATGCTTTTAACAGTGGTTGCTGAAAGCCATCAGTGGGAAAGGGCTACTGCTCTCTAATCCAGCTGGCTTTGGAGTGACAGATGGTTAAACTAGATGGGCTTGTAGTTTGACTCAATGTAGGTATCATGGTTCCGACAGATGAAACTCTTCAAAAGAACGTCGAGGCATTGTTTACCTTAAAGCAGTGATGGCGAACCTTTTAGAGACCGAGTCCCCAAAAACTGCCCCCCCACTCCCATCCCCACTCCGCCCTGCCCACTGGGCCACTCACCACCTCCACAGTCCGCCATAGATCACTCAGGCAGCCCAGCAGCGCCATGGTGGCCATGCCCTCCACCCATGCCCTGCAGCATAATCTGCGCGCAATGGGGCGCAAGGGCGGAGTCTTGTCCCCGCTGCCCAGCTACCATGTCCTTGGCTCCGCTGCTTTGTGTGGGCCGCGCCCAGGGGCAACTCTCCCCTGGGGGGGCTACTGGTGAGGAGGGGGCCATGGGAGGAGGTGGGGCTGGGGAGACAGTGCGTGTGCCCACAGAGAGGGCTCCGAGTGCCACCTCTGGCACCCGTGCCATAGGTTCGCCACCACTGCCTTAAATAATATTTTATTCAAGAAACAAAGTATCGGCACTACATAGTTAAAGCCAAAAACTGAATTCCCCTCTCCTGGGCACAAAGTAGCAAAGCACAATTCCCTCCTCCAATTAACAGTCATAAATCACATTCCCCAATTAGCTTGAAGCATGGGCTTTCTCCCCAGCTCTCCAGCCCAACAAATCTTTATCAACTCTGGGCACAATAACCTTGGATCCCCACCGGCTGAGTTATTATTGTTATAACTAACTGGACTTTCATCCACATCCCCCCTCCCAGCATCAACTAACTCTAAAAGCGAAAGAGAAAAGATGGCTACATTTCCATCTGTTGTCAAAGCAAGAACGTCCAATGTTAGCAGAGTTGACATCAGGCTCTGTTCTCCAAGAAAAGCTATCCCTATGTAACCCTTTCTAGCATATGTAGTCCCTGATATTTTAGCCTGATTCTATGTGTTTAAAATAAACATAAACACTTGATTTGTAAATAATGTCTGTTTTTAAAACAGTTAGAGACAGAATCAATCTCCAAAATCAGACCA